ATCACTCTGTATTTCGTCGCTTTAATAAAGGCAGGCTATCCTTGTCTCATCTGTTCGTGAAGCAAATCGTATCACGTTTTAATGCGAAAGCATTAACTGTCCATGGAGCGAACCGACGGCATTAGCTTTTTAAACCGCACCAAACGGCACCTTCACCTCTTCAAATGGAGCGAAGTCAGCCGTCTGTAACAAAGATCTGATGGATAGGCTCCCATTGGCTGGCGCGCGTCATAGTTTTAAGGAACGAGGCTCCCATTGACTCTCGCGAGGCGTAGTTCCATGGAACGCCACCAGAGAAGCTCTCTCCATGGCGGCGCAGCGAACGCAGCTGCCCGGCCGCCGGTAGCAGGTGCGAGTCTGGCCGCAGAGCCCGCAGGAGCAAACTGCGGAGAGGCTGCACGGCCGAGCTCAGCGCGGCGCGGCCACTTCACGAGAGCGCGTGCTCGGCCGTCGGCCGCTACCTCGGCAGTAGCGAAAAGTTACCGCCCACTCCAGTACGCCGCAGACGAGCTATGGGAGCAGAAGAACGACATTCATAGTTCGGCGTTCACAACTTATTAGAAGCGCTTAGGTGCTTTTTTTATTTCGCAGATATTAAAGGGTCGATGCAACGATTTTTGTATTTTGCGAAAATACCGCTTAGAACGAATCCCTGACGTTAATGACCTGTGAAATACCCGTTCGTTTTTTACTACACGCAATCGCAGTCGCAGAAAAAAATAAAGAAAAAACGACCAGAATTCACCCCCTCAACTCGAAGCCAGAACAAGCGGCCACGTGATCTGGAGCCGATTATATGCCGCCAGTGTTGATCATAGCCATGCGCTGGGGTTGGAAAGGCACAGGACACGCGCTGAGTTCCAGGCATTGTTATGGTTCGGCTGTTGTCGTCATTGCAGCGATTGGACACAGGACACTACCCGAATGCTTCTCCAGCTATAGATTATCACGAGCCCAAATCGAGTGCCCACGCAATGCTCGGGTCCAATCTATGAGCCGCATTCAAATATCGTCACTGGGCGGTACTGCCACCGCCCACCGTCATCAGGTTTTGCGAAGGAGAGATTGAATGAAAACACTCGGTTTTGTCTTCAAAATTACAGCGCAAAAACGCGTTTCTTGGTCAGTGGCTTTGCGTGCGAGTATTCTTGAGTCCCATTAGTGCCACTAAGCTCGTGTAAAGTGAAAAACATTCCAATTGAATATTGTTGCACCGCCCCTTTAAATGACTTTTGAGCGCAGCTCTTAGGTGCCCGTTTCCGGCTTGAGCGGTGTCGCCGTCGGCGTAACCACGCGGTGCATTATGGGACACGTGACGTCACCGGTGACGTCACTGATGACGTCATTAGCGACGATGACGATGGCGTCCCGTGACGTCACTGACGACGTGACACGTGAAGTCACTCATGATGTCATCACGATGACAATGACGATGACGTCATCCCGATGACGTCCTCATCATTGTCATTTTCACGTGACCCCGGTGACGTCACATGACCCCCGTGAGGTCACGTGACCCTCGTGAGGTCAAGTGACCCTCGTGAGGCGACGGCGACGCCGCTCGGAGGGAGGAGTAGCAGACAGGATGAGGAGGTTGAGGAGGAGGAACAAAGGGTATACCCTCCCTTTACCCTTCCCCCCTCCTCCTCAAGAGCTGCACTCTGATTCGGTGTTACAGGGAGTTGTAAACGGCTTTCATTTTTTTTAAACTTTAATTCAAACCAGACTGCAAGTGAAATATTACTTTGCAGTTTCCTCGTCTCGAGTTATAGGAAGCAAAGTTGACTTGGTAGTGTTCTGAGCGAAGTGAGTTCTGCTTTTCATTTTTCGTCAGTTAGTTTTTCACTCGAATACCTGTCGGTGATCATTTAAAGGCCTTTGACGCTGTGCATTATTTAAATTGTTTTTCAGGTGCCAGTCTATCACTCTCTGTACCGTGCAGGCCCAGGGCAGGACGTTTCCGACAGAGTTAAAATATCGCTCTTCTGCCGTCAATCCGCCAATAGAAAACCTTTTTTTTTTAAATTAAATCACACAGTAATATCCTTCCTGTGGCAACTTGGCTCCAGCAACGACATATTTTTGTAACGTGAAGTGTTAACTGCTGTGCAAGCTACCGGAAACTGAAAAACACCTCTTTATCTACTGCCCAAACCCCTTCCGAAATTAGGACGACGTCCAATAAACTATAAACAAAACTTTTTCTCTCAACCCGGATGGCCTCAGGTTTCTCCCAGGAGAAATAGACGTTAACATTCGTTTGAATATTATTACTCTCCAGTGCCTGCATGCGATATGACGTAGCGGAATGCCAGTTTAACACGCCGATGTTGACGCGCGTCCAGTAAGGGTTATTCTGTTGAGTCTATCCGTCATCATAAAGTCCATAAGCCTCGGTTGAATGTTCTCCCGAGTGAATGCCCGTTCTTTATGTTGTCTTAATAGCGAAATACCTTTAGCCTTGCTTCCAGTCATTAGATATGTCGAGTGTATCTCTTTGGCATTGTGATTGCGTTTGTTGTAAACTTCTTACCATGGCAATAAAAATATAAGTTCACGTTGGCGCAATGGTTGAGCGTCGAGCTCAAGATCCTAAACTCCTGAGTTCGATTCCCCTTGGGCGACTTTCAAAGTTTTGTTCTTTGTTCATAATTTATCTGCTTACCTCTCTCCCGTGGATGCGTTTCATATTACATAGCAGACTGTTTCCTAGGGGAGCCGAAAGGGGATGCTGTACTATTCAATAAACAATCTATTCTCTATAATATACCCCGAAAAACACGTACGTTGCGGGAGAAGATATATGTGTCATTTTCCTGTTAGCATCCGTGTTAGAAATTAGTAACATTTAAATCCCGTGTGGTTGTACGTTCTTAACAGATATGTTTTTGTGATGGGCTTCATGAGGAAAGCGTAACTCTCGAATGACGGAAAAAGTGTTGAACGCGGGCTAAGCCAGCATAAAACTTGTGTAGCCCTTAGCAGGAACTGCATATATCCATCCAAAGCACATAGATGGCACACTGAGTCATAATAATTTATACATAACAAAAACCAGGAAACATTGATCACAACCAGAAAGATTCACCAAGTGGTTATGCGGAAAACGAACTTAAAACCATGCGATCCGTCGTCCAACGCCTTTGCACGGCGCTACAAAGAGTTATTTTTTTCTTCTTTGTTGTCGACACGACAGGTAGATAAAGAAGTGCAAGCAGTTGAACTCAGTATAAGTGGCCGGTAACTGTTGCCTCCGGTAGTACGCGATTCGTCTTGAAGTCTGATACTTTGTTAAACATACTTAGTAGGTTGTGCGACAATCGGCGGCGAGTCATACTTATTTCAGCATACTGAGTCCGTAGACGACCGTCTGCGGCAGGTCAAACCTAGTACAACATACACGGTCGGGAGGCGACTGTTGCCTCGAGTAGCTGGTCTCCGAATAACGACGCGTATATAGCGCAAAGGGTTGGATAAGCCTCCCCTTGCGGTTACATCAGTTACCCAAATAGGCTTGTTTATTTATTACATATACGATAAAGGCCCAAGTTCACTACAGACGGAAGAGCATGTACAGAAGCGGGTAGTAAAATTGTAACAAACTTTATTAATAATTTAACAAAAAAAATTGCGGTGGCTTAGCTCGGCTATGCCAGGATATACGTAGCGTGAGCTTATGCGCCCGAAATGACAGGCGCTATCAAACAGCTCCGGTGCAGCGTCAGACTTGGCTACCGCGCAACGGAGGCGCACAGCTGGGCATGCGGTGGCACCATTGCGTCTGCCGCCGCTATGACGTCACTCCTCCCGAATGCGCAGACCGGCGAGGCGCGCGCGGCAGAGCCGTATATGTAGAGAGTTTGACCATTCGTTGGGAAGTATAGGAGACAAATGAGGAGGCGCCGTTGGCCAAAAGCGGGCTGGGCGTGTTCCAGGGCTCTTCAGAAATTCGAATGTGACCAACCAGAAGCCGGAAATAATGCCCTGGCGGTAGTCGCGAGAAGCAAACCTGATAAGTACATCGGAGTAACTCTCAGTGACTGCAAATATGGTACACGTGATGTTTCAATCACGCTCATCCAAAATGATGGTGGAAGAGTGCGACTAGCGGAACGATCGACATAATCCTCACGCCAAGCGACGAGGGCCGGGAATCTGCCGTCCGAGCGGTCACACTCTGTCCGAGCAAAACAGAGTTGAGGGACGCATTCGTTTCTTACATCTTTCTGGATGATCATGATCAAAACATCACGTGCACCCTATTTTCAACCACGAAGAGTTACTACACCTTACTCTTACGCGCTTATTAAAACCATAAACGAACATATACCCTTGATCAGAACTGTTTCTCGCTACCACCGCTTGGGGATTCTTTTCGGCTTCTGGTTGGTCGAGAGAGCGTGCGAAGCCCTGTTTCCGAGCCTGGTGCACGCCCTGGCTCTGCTCGCACCTCCCATTGACCAAACTCTCTCTATACAGGGCTCTGGCGCGCGGCGGCGGCGGCTCCAGCGCGCCAGCTGGGCGCCCTGTGACGTCCCTGCTCCTCGCGCCTGCGCAGCACAGCTCTTTGGGAGCCACGCGAAACTGCTCAACCTCAGCCAGTGTTGCTCACGCTACAAAATACAAACCTACGGATCGTAGGTTATTGCAAAAATGGTTAGAAATAGGATTCCTTGACGGGTTAGGATCAGTTTATCACTGAAATTGTGTCGGTGGTTCAATTCTGCTTGCTGTGCGGGGTACCTCGCAACCCAAGAGCACGAAAAATGCTAGACCCTACACGCATCCACAAAATGGCCCTACACGCATCCACAAAAGACGAACAACCATTAGAACTTATCATAAAAGAATGCTTGTTGCGCATTCCACACGTGTATAAATTTAAATTTGTCTCGGTTATTCTGATGAAGTACTCCCATGGTTTACCAGAATAATCAATACAGGTTTAATTTGGCTAAGGTGTTAACTGTTTGCCTTTCTTTCTATTGCACCACCCACAGTGGGACCTTGTATGCAGCAGGAGCTGGTACCGCTCCGCAGCGCAAAGCGTCGTCATGGCCGGCGCTCTCGTTGGAGTGCTCCTGTTCGGAGAGATGTCCGATAGGCGAGTAATTCAGCCATGACGCATAGAACCATTAACCCTGGTTGTCATCACTTACTAAGGCTGTCATTCTTAAAGGGAGGCTCAACTTCCAAAGATTTTTCATAACAAAAAAACTGATAGCAAATATTTCGAAAACTTCAAACCGAGTCTCCAGGTTCGTTATAGCTTCCCTAAATACTTTGCTGGGGAGAATACATCCTTTTTTCCATCTGCATTACAGTGCCCCCGTACAGTGTCAAATCCTCCCCTAGCAGTATGAGCAGTGCTTGTCGATGATAGCGCTTGCGCGCAGAGCTTTCCAAGTTTACGTCTTTTTGCGCGCCACCGAGGGCGAGGGCTGCCGCCAGTGCACTGAGAAGCCAAATTTGCCAAGACAGCAAGGACAGCGGTGTCCGTCGTCCTGGCGGCGCTCCACGGGATACATCGCCGCAATCACCCCATCCAGTTCAAAGAAGAAAACTCTGAGGCTGCTGCGGACTCAGTCGTGCAAAGAACGCAGAGCCTGTCCACGCACAGGTCACTAAGCTTTCTTGGAGCGAGAAGCGCTTTTATAGTAAAGCACCTGGTACAGCCATTCGACTCTGAGTGCTCCTTCCTCGTTTGGGGAAAAAAAAAAAAAAGATAAGCAATGTAGAGAGTTTTTGTTTTTTCTAAGCTCTACAGATTTGTTTAAAAAAAGGCTTGCAAGGTACACTAACACGGTTCGTGCAGGTGAGTTACACGGCCAGTGGGACATAGTATTCGGGGCTAAAGATAAAGATCAGTCAGTTAATTAATTAAATTAGTTCGTTAACTTTTTAGTTCGTAAAAATAGACATATTGTTCCAATTGGAAACTTACTGACCGTCATCGCAAACCATTATATCAGCTCCTTTTAGCACGACTTGAAGCTCGGGGCAAACTCGGGCGCACCAAAGGTCAGCAGCCGCAGAGCTCGCAGTGGCGGAACGCGATGATAATCTAATCATCGACGTTCCGCCACTGCTAGCTTTGCACTTGCTGCACGAGTGGGAACTTTAGTGCGCTCCCGAGTTTCCCGCGAGCTTCAAGTCGTTCTAAAAAGAATTGATTCAGTGGTTTTCGATGGCTCTCCGTAAGTTTCCGCTTGAAAACATATATCTATTTTCACTAATTAAAATGTTTATTCGCACAGTTTAAATAATTAGTCAGCTTATCGCAAAGATTAGCCACCCACATAATGTCCCCCTGGCCGCTTAACTCACCTGTACACACCGCATAAAAGTAAACTTTATGGCTTTTTTTTTAACAAATCTGTAAACCTTAAAAAAACACAAAAAATCTGTATTTGTTTTAGGCCTACTGGAGGCCCTCCCAAAAAAAAAGATTTGTTTCGGGCTTCAAAAAATTGCCAACGTTGATTGCAAGAGCGTATCTTCCTCCTTTTGTGTAGGGTGGGGAGGAGGCCAACCTTCTTCGCCTGTGTCCTTCTTGTCCTGACGTTCGGTTCGCTGTCATCAGTGGCACCGGGCATCGGCTGGTTCAACGCAGGTCGCTTCATGCTGTCCATGGGCATCGCTGGGTGCCAAGCCACGACTGTGTCACTTTGTTCGTATGCGAAACGTTCATCTCACTCTATACTAATTAATAGCTTAGTTATAACAGAGTGTATTTGATATTTGATATTATTTATTGCCCTTGACAGGTAGAAATGCACAGGCGTGCTGGTGTTGGGGGGAAGGCTGACGTTCATGCACTATTTTGCCCCCCCCCCCCCAACACCGACCACGAAAGTATTATTAGCACGCTTCTTACTTGGCGGTTCGTTATTCGCCGTTCTTATCAACTGATGCAGCCATCTCATCGGTTACGGGTGATAAGTAGATGGTCGGCGCTCTCCACGCTCTCTGTTCTTTAAAGTGTAAGCGACTAAAGGTTAATTCAAGAAGGGCATGAAAATGTAAATGCCCCTCTAATGGTGTTCCTCGGCATGCAAACGAATTACCGGTGAAATCGCCTCTTAAAGACAGAGTTGCTAGAAACCTAGATAATATGAAACGTATTGACGTTAACACCGCTATAATTTGACATTTATCTTATTTATTTTTCCTTTACGATCACTTTACTGGTTTCTAATAACTTTACCATGCAGTGCCGTGTGATCATGTGCAGCAGTGCTGCCGAAAAGAGTAATACTTTAAGTGAACATTTGTTTAGAAAACAATATTATATTGAACTAAAGAAAAAAAAGATCACACACACATTAAAAAAGAATTCCGCTAAAAAGAAGACAGAAGAGACATATATGACAGACCAGGAATTACACATTTTGTTTTTCTCCTTCCTAGCTTAGATGAACGTTTAAAACTTTTATTGCTAACACACAATTAAATGTTCTCTTATCGGGGGAAGGTCATGGTTGGTTTTACGTCAATAACACACAATGGTGGTGAGAACACAACATATACCGGTGGCCAGCCTCACCGCCGTGGTTTAAAATCTGTCGGCACCTTCAAAATACAGCCCTTTACCGGAGTTCACTGGTATATTGCGGGAGCCAAAGGGATCGTAGGCCCTTTGAAAGAACTGCATAAATCGGGTTCTTAACGCACTCAGCGAAGCATTCGTGTACAAAGCGGCAAAAGGTGGTGCCTTTTAGAGTACAGCTCTTAGGCGCCCGTTTACGGCTTGAGCGGCGTCGCCGTCGCCGTCGGCGTAAGCGCGCGATGACGATGACGATGAGGATGACGTTCTCGTCACTAATGACGCAACACGTGACGTCAGTGGTGACGTCACTGGGAACGTCATCAGTAACGATGACGATGACGATGAGGTTGACGTCCTCGTCACTGATGACGTAACACATGACGTCAGTGGTGACGTCACTGGTGACGATATCAGTAACGATGACAATGACGATGACGATGCCGCTAAAATCTCTGCTAAATTTAACGGGAAAAGCTTCTAGCGGAAAAAAATTTTCCCGCTAATTTCCCCGCTAAACCTAGCGGAAAACATTTCCGCGCTAAGTTTAGCGGAAATAATAGGGAGTTTTCGTAGATCGTTTTCGCCGTCCCGCAAGGCCCTCCGCAAGCGCTACGATAGCGGGAACTCCACAGTCAAGGCTATCGGCGCGCAGGCGCAGTAGCAACTTCTTCGTTGCGGAACGCTTAGCGGAGGGGGCAGCGCGGTCTACGAAAACTCCCTAATATCCTCGCTTAATATAGCGGAACAAGTTTCCCCGCGAAATCTAGTGTAAAACTTTCCCCGCTAAAGTTAGAGGAAAAAACTGCGCCGCTAAAATGCCGACAAATTTACACGCGATGCTTTCACCAAAGATGTGCATTTTCTGAGACTTGCGTTAAGCACACGTCGATACACATCCATGTGAGTAGTGGGGGACTTTCCACCTATTCCCCTCAGTGCCCTTCCCTCCTCCTCAAGAGCTGCGCTCTAATTCGGTGTTACAGGGGATTGTTAACGTCTTTCATTTTTAGGTTAAAGAAATGAAAAATTGGCATCTAAGAGTGAATAGTAAAAAACTAAGATGGTATATTTGCTTCGCCCGTTATTTTTGTAATAACGAAGAGCGTTTGATTAGAGCAAACACCGACAGACGGCGCCAGCTGTTTTCAGATAACCGGAATAATTCAACAAGGAATCTTTCTAGGGGGATCTGTTTTCGTTCAGTGTGTTTCATAAGTAAAAATAAGCAGTTGTGTCCTACGTCAAAAAAGGTTCGCGCCATAATTGACTAAAAACCATAGCTGGCTATCGGTATGCCCTCGCTCTTAGCTCTGTCCTCCTTTAGGATGTAGTGCCAAGAAAACACCGCGTATTAGCAGAGGGCCGCAGTATATTGAAAATCCACGTCTTTTTATTCTAGTTCTTACTCCTGTGAACTTATTTATTATAGTTGGAGCGCACAACCTGCGTTATCTTTCGCGTTCTCTAAGCACAGTCTCAGCTTGATCTGCTAAGAAACTAAGTTATGCGTTCTATTCCAAAAAAATAGTCTGACTCACGCAGTAGTTACGGGTGCACCATAAACGTTAAGTACATACGGTTAGAGGTAGTACTGCATTGGGGTATGATTGTTTCTCATCAGCTTGAACCTATACGTGCAGATACATCTCAAATGCATATTAGCCTTTCGGTGTGTAAATAATCAAAATGTCACGGCTGCTTCATACAAACAAATTTACGGTTGGTTTACTAATATTTATTTTTGTTTTAAGCCAAATTTTGTGCTCAAAAGAAGGTTCTCCAGAACGTGCAAATGTTTCTTGTATTTTATGTTTAGTGATGGAGATTGTACCTCCGAAGCATCGCATGATGTTGAACCTGGGATTTGGCATCGGATACACGGGTTCTTTGCTGCTCCTGCCACTCGTAGCCTACCACCTCAATAACTGGTCCAGCCTGCAACTAATAGCAGGTCTATCGGCCATCATGATGATTCCATTCTGGTTGTAAGTATTGTATGACATCCAGAATACTAATGGCGGCTTTACAAACTCTGACCAGCAGCCTAAATAATAGCCCATTTAAAATTTTAGTATAAGCAACAGCTTTCTTTTTTAACGAAGATAAACTTGAACTTATATGGGTTAAAATTAAAATAATAATATTTATTAACCACATTGGTAAACTAGTGCCGGTTGATTGCTACGGCTTTGCAGCGGCCGGTTATTTCCATGGCATGTGTATAGTAACTGTATTTCAGCTGCGCTTTGATAGCTCGTCTCCGGTAGCGCGGTTAAGCGCTTCCGACAATCGGGCAGTATCGTACAACGTTTTGCTGGTTTCCCTGCCGGTAGCTCTTGCTCACATCTATTTCGTCTCGATTAGTCGCTCTTACATCGTGTTGAAATCTGTGTTTCAGTGCAAAAATGATCGCACACTGCCTTTCGCTTTGGCCTATAATCCCTTTCCATTCAATGCGCTGGTTATTTTAAGGAACATCAACGACCTATACTTCTGAGAATAAACGAGCGCAGTACACCACCTAAATCCCATTCGGAGTGCGCAGGTAGGGCCCCTCCACGTGAAGCTGCAAATATTAGCCGGCTACTACTTGAAGCAGTACCCCACAAATCTGCTCAGCCACCTCATTATTGTGTCGTCATTGCCGCAAATTTCAAATTGAAGATATGGTTTTCGTGCCACTGGCGCCTCGTGTCAATCTTGTTCGTGCAGTATCAGCTACAACTCACGATGATCGACGCTGTCCGTTTTGATAGCATGCAATGGTGCCGCTCGGAATCCCCGTTTCTACCGATAGAAATAACCATTCTGCAGGCCGTTCGCAGCGGGTTGGGGATCATGATCAAGTGGCTGTGGTCAGAGCGATATGGTGTCCTTAATAGTTTTTTTAAACAATAAAATATAACTTGGAAGGGTATTTTGTGTTGTTTTCTTTGTGGTTAGTTTATATAATTTGTGTACGTTGCGAAACAGTTAGTCAATTCCAAAACCATTGCCCGAGTCAAAAGACCCACAGCTTTTCAGCAAAACGTTGTTATAAGCTGTAAAACGGTCATCTAAAATCAACCAGCAGCACAAATGTTTAATCGAGGTGTTCAAGAATGCGAAATAGTTTAATAATCAAAAATACACCTATATTTTTATTTAATTTCGGGCAATATGAAAACCAAATTATGCAATCTTGATTCAGTGAATTTATTTCACCCTGCGATCTTCTCTCTTGTCTGTTTTGATTTCCTTGTTATTTTTATTAGGAGGGCTGTGGGTTTCCTTTGCACTGTGCTTGTACTAGGTAAATATATAAATGTATTGTATAATTGTTTTAAATTTTTTAATAGGATATTTTGTAGCCTGATGTGCAAACCCCATGTGATGGCCTCGTCAGGAGACACATTGGTCACCTTTAGCCGCACCTCGTGGACTTTTGTACTCTTTGTTTATTTCTAAATAAACCGTCAATGATTGATTGAGGTTAGGAGGCCTGACACCAATATACGGCACATTATAAAGTACGAAAGGACCTCAACGAATATGTATCACAAATTGTTGCCCACAAAATACTAGGAAGCGTATTTATTACAACACATACTAGACGTTTCGATTCCCTTTCCTTTCCCGGTAAGCATTCTTCAGGAATCTCCCCGTTGGCTGTTGACTAAAGGGCGCCTTGAAGACGCCGAGGCTACGATGGTGAAAGTCTTAAAGATAAACCGAAGACCAATTCCAGATATGGACCAAGTGATGAATGACCTCAGTCTACAAAGCAAATTGGTGAGACCTAAATATTGTTTTCTCCTGCTCTTTACGAATAGAAATCAAGGTAGATTTTGAGATTTGTAGGTCCTCACCATTTTCATCAAGCAAAACAGAGCCTGGGAGTGCGTGAGTGGGTACGTTTAAAATTTTGTGAGACATGTTAAGCCTATCTAGACAAAAGATCCTGAAATAAGATGGGAGGACGGCGGCTCGGATTTTCAACAACGACCTTACTTGTTGTTGATGTTTTTTTTTTTAATAGTAACCTCATGTCTTTTTCTTTCTAATGCGGCCCCTAATATTCTTTACGCAACAAAAGATATTAAGGTTATTGGAAGTAGAGAAAGAGCAGATGATCTGCCTGCTTTCAGCAACCATAACACTAGATATGTGATTACACACTAATAACTTAATGATAACTGTTGATGCCTGATTCTTGCTGAACACCTTTTAATTGCGTACACATTTCCGCTATCACTCTAAATGGCATTTCATTCATGACACAAATACCTTGTCATTCTCATTATGTTACAAGGACACACACAGTCAAATTGCCAACGAACGTTTCCCGTTTGCCTTAGCAAAAATCAGACATACCAACTAATTCAAGCACGCATTGTGTATAACGTCAATAAAGCTATATTCATTAATATGGGATTGTTGTCACTGTTGCCAAAGGATATCGTGTTCCGAAGAAGTTGATTTTGTTATTTTGATATGTGTAACCCAATTGTGACACAATATTTCTTAAACCATCGTCGAAAACTGATTGAATAACTTTGCTTTACGAGAAGTAAATTAAAGCTTAATGTCTTTAAACGCGTATACACATATTTTTGCTGGCGCTAAATTCGCTTCAACTTTTTCTGCTTTCCGCACACCCATTTTTTAAACACAGAGCCACTGACTGGCACATACAATGGCGGTTACTAAGAAATGACAACACAACATTTTGATTGTACACAATAAAATGATTTTTTTTAAATAATTAAGGATAGTGTTTGTGGGATTCGAATATTGCCAGATATAAATCACGAAGGTTTGTTCTTCCGAAATGGCACAAATAACATGTTTCAAATTATTCCAGAATAAATACGGCTATAAGTCTTTTCCATCGTGTTACGTAATATTTACTTCCAAGTGCTCATCATCATATCTTGTTCCTCTCGATTTCTGTGCAGGAGTCCCGAAAAACGAAGATCAGGTTCTTTGACTTCTTTAGAACTCCTAAGATGAGAAGGAACACATGCGTGCTTTTTGTCCTGTGGTAAGTATTTCGAAGTTCGAACCTACATGTCCTGTCTACGCCACAACTGTACAAAGTAGACAGCCTCAAGTAAGAGTGCGTTCAACCGCTCGCCCAGGGCTACGTGTTTATGGGCGCCTTTAAACTGAAAAATGTTATTTCGGGTGTATGGGGTTACGGGTGGTTTTTCAACGTAAGCCCAGTTATAAACATACCATGAGATGCTTAAATCTTCTATGCGAAGAATAAAAAATATTTTAAATACCATTTTTGTTCTGGTAGTATAAGTATTTTTTTAGAAGCGAAAAAGGGTATAATCCGCCACCTCTAACGCCGCCATTTTATTGCAAACGCTCTCCATGGTCTGAGTTGAACGCAGTATTACTTGAGGCTCTCTAGTTCAAAAGAGCGCGACAAACAACCAACAGTGAAATTATTTATCAAGACTGACGTTTTAACAGTTTTTGTGTTGTTTCCAATTTACAGAATTCAATAGTTTTGCTTCAAAATAAGTTGGTGATAATATGAGAGTGACAAAGCTTCACTGAGAAGAAAAAGGTGCCATCCCTTCTCGTTTCCGTGGAACTGCGCAGTTAAGGAGAATATTTTTTTTTTCTTTTGTGAGACATTGTGGAATAAATGCAGAGGAAATATCCGAGGTAAAAGGCGCACAGGGTATAAGCCGGTGAGCTGTTTGCAAACGATTCGGTGTTTACCCACAACAGGTGTGTGAACTGCGAGTGCACAAAAACCAGGTCTGCGCGAGTTAAGCGCGGGTGCATGCACGTGCTTCACGAGCCGATAGCAGCGCCAGCGCATCGGCGTGGCGTCAGATCCATGTATTGCTGTATAAGTACCGACATTCCTTAAAGGGGCACTCAAGTTGTTTTTGGGGAAGCTACCTTTTGGTGCGATGGCGTTAAGGAAGTGTCAATGAATGAGTATCTTCAGTTTTAGAAGGCAGAAGAATTGCGCAGAAACACAATACATGCGGACTCTTTCCTGTTCCTGCGCTAACCAATGAAATTATCGTAAGTTTGAAAATTTTGGCGGCCTTTGTAAAGTTTCGCTAAAGAAACAATTTTCAAATTATTTAGATATGTTGTGCATGATAATTTCACAAGACGTAAAATAGTTCTAGTTTAGAATACGCAATAGTGCAATTATCGTTTCACAAACAAGGGACTACGTTTTCTCCTTGCCTTCCTTTGCGGGGGGTGAATTTCCCGTTCCCTCGGGATGTGCGGAAGCGCACGTATCATGAACTCGCGCCTCGTTGCATGCCGGTCGTGCCGGGCTCCTTCTATCTGAAAACATGGCGTCGGTGGTGATCGTCGACGTGACGGCGTGGTGAAAGCTCATCGTTCCGCGTAAAAGCGCTGTCCTTGACTGTGAATTTTCGTCGTGTATCGCTGTAATAACCCAGCACGTACTAGAATGGAAGATCCACCTACTCGTGTGGCGATGTCGTGGTGGCAGTCTCAAGACAGCAGAAACGCCCGTGCCGTCGTGTTTGTTTACTTCGACTACAGTGGTGCTTTCTAAGCATTTGTGTCCTCGAACATCGCCCGGATTTCTGATTTGGCGCATTTCATACGTGTGCTCAAGTTCAAGGTATTACTGACGCGTACCGTATAAAGGATGCGAATTTTCACGCGTTTTCATCACCGGAGAAAAGTGATTAGTGTTGGGAATCCTGAACGCTCGCAACGTCTAACTGATCACGCAATCATAATTCTACGTTGCTATATCGCTGCAAAGACTACATCGTCTTTTATAATCGTAGAAAAGGCGTGTGGCGATATTTGTACTATTGGCAAGGGCGTGAATTAGGGTCGTGATCAACGAAGACGGCGTACTGAATCTTTTTCTCTTTTTTTTTCATCCACTGTACCCTGCAAGCCTATCACGAAAAAAAAAAATAAAGCTTTAGGGTATAGAAAACTGTCTGTCTATATTCTGTTATGGCATTGAGTATTAGTGCGCCCCCTTTTTAGAGGCGCCGCTGAAACAGCTGACGGCGGCGTAGAAGCGGTCGCCGTGCTGCCGACTCGCTGCGCTTGTTGCAGTGGTTGCAGGTGTGTGTACGCGCGGCGCAGAGCGGTCGTTCCGGTCGCTCCGGTTGCAACGGACGCAGTCGTAGGTAACGCGCTCGTTGCACATGTCTGACCCAGCCTGCCGTCCTCCCGAGGCAAAAGTCAACGTGGCGACATCGTTTGACATCACGTACCAGAGGTTATGCTGCGATGCCAAACGTTTGTTTGGCTATGGCTTGCCCCAACCGCAAATCGAAGAACGCCCGAAAAGGTCTGCGTTTCATCGTCCTCGGAACCCGAACACGACTGCGAAGCGCTGCTATCGTCCACATCGCACGTCGGAGTGGCGTCATAGGAAATCATCCCCAGGTCGGCTGTCTACCGAAGAATATCAACCTCTAACAGCGTCAGGTCCTCGAGCGTAGAGAACTCCGCCATGATCGAAGCTCGAATGACAAAGAGGTTCGGCCGGTGCGGCTACCTCGGTATCACTGGGCGACGGAACGTCGTCCAACGCCATTGGCCCGAGATCGTTTTGATATGCGAGCGGTGACCAGTGTGAGTGGTTTCGTTTTCGAATTGATCCCGAGGTTCGGCGGCCTTCAATTACTCTTTTTATTAAACAAATAATCACCGTATGACTATATTTTTTGGTTTTTAGGGATACTTAGGGCGTCTAGACTCAGCTGTCATCATCAAAACACGAACTGAGAAACCACTTGAGTGCCCCTTTAAAGCGCCGACTGTCCGACGGACTGACGGTGCTGGTTCTAGGAAGCAAATGGCGGCCGACAGCAGCTGAATGAACAGTGAGATCTCTTCGTTCAAAATGCCCTTCATGATTCATGTCGGTGGGCTATGCTCGTCAAGTAAGATTCGATAGACTTTATCGGGAACTTATGATAACGCCTCCTGAAGCGGCCTCTCTCGGGGTGGGGTTGCCTCTTGCTGTTGTTAACCCAAAGGGAGCGTAAGTTCGTGTACTTCTTTTGCAGGGGCTGTGGTGACATCAGAAGACCGAGCTCTGATTGACTCTGAGAGAAAAATAGCTGGTGGACCTCGAGGCAGGTTGCTTTGAGGCCTAGCTACGATTCTTTCAATCGAAGCCAATCAGAGCTCGGCGTCGTTCTGACGTCACAGCACCTCCTCTGCAAGAAGCAGACGACTTGTTCCTTGCATTCCTTTTCGGCTAAATACGTCCACTAAACTGGGCTTGCAGTGTGGTACGTATTGATATGCGCAACTGCATCAAAGCACCCAGGCGATCAAACCAATACGCCTTTAGATTGTTGAGGAAGGAACCAAGGCTCGTCCGGTTCACTCGTGGCCGTTTTGTTTTCTCATGTCCCTCTCGTCTCTTTTTTTTTCTTCCTTTTAGTTGAGTTCATAATCAACAACAACTTTCCATTGTGGCTATATCCTCGGAGCTGTGCAGAATTCTTTGGAACGACGCACTCTTAGAATGAATAGGCAGCACAATATATTACTGGTCAGGGGCAATACGGCAAAAACAAAAAAAAAAAAAAAATTGCAGTGAAAAATGGCCGAAACATTTTGAGACAATTCAACACAATGTAAAAATAAAACGTTATGGCTAACTGTAAAAGAGGTGAGTCTGGTATTGGAAAGAAACTACGTTAAACTGAATTATTTCTATCCTTCCCTCGGTACGTTCGCTTCAAGAAAGTAAATACTTTTAATGAGACGATGCATTTATTCGCCATTTGCAAGGCGAAGTGTGCAGGCACTTGGTATTCCGTCTCTCAGTGAGAGTGTCGCTGTAACAAATCCGAACTTTCATGTAAGTGGTGGCGAATCGTTTTCAACGACGGCAATATATCCTGCTCTGATACCGGCTAATGACCGTGACTGGCTCTTATGTGCGAAGTCAAGAAGCAGTGAGTATTCGTTTTTTCATTGTATCTAGAATTCAATTCTTAATAAATGGCGATACCGATTAGGACGCCTTAATTCAGCAGCAGTCAATGTTTGCGACAAGATTACCGCACCAAGAGGACGACTTAGGACTCGCTTGGCCACAACAAAAGTCATGGTGTTAAGGACGCGAGTTCCCCAGTATCGTTACTAGGGATGTCGCGAACCACCCTAGGTTCGAATTTGAAAGGTTTCGATATTTTCGAACCGAACTGAGGTTAGAATTCGAAATATTTCGATATTTTCCACCGTACCGATGTTCGACTTCGAAAAGGTCGAAAGTTTCGCACACCGCGGAGTTTCGAATTCGAAAAGTTCGAAGCTTTCATGGTTTCTAAAAGTTCGGTTTCGGTCATTTGGAATATTTTTTCTTTTACTTGAGGTTTGACAAAATCGAAGATATCCAACTTTCCTAACTTGAAATTCGAGAAATTCGAAAATTTTGAGCTTCTTGTGATCTAAAGTTAAAAGAATTCAAAGATTTCGGATTTATTTGACTCTGAAGTTCGAAAAATTAAAGATTTCAATTTTCCTTAGATCTAAAATTCGAAAAATCTAACATTTTGAATTTTTTATAGACATAAAGTTCGAAAAGGTCGAAGGTTCCGATTCTTTTTTAAAGCTTAATTAACTAAAAAAAAAAAAAAAAAAACTTCGAAGGCTGCGAGTTCTTTTCCTAGTTCAAGTGTGCAAAGTTCGAAGTCCGGTTTTCATGTTCCTCCACAGTTTCAGTTTCAAATAATGTTTTCACGCCTCACTAGTTTTCACGAACTGCGGTTAAAGGGGGGGGGGGGGGTGCAACGATTTTAAAATTGAACGACTTTGCATCTTGCCATTTTTACATTGTTTATCGTGACCCGGAGGATCGAGAAAACATCTCCTTCGTTAAAAATGTCGCTGTTTCGCTGCATAATCGCAAAGCGAAAGTCGAGCTTGTTCTCCCACCTGCAGCCGCGAGCGGCAGCCGAATGAACTACGGCGAGAAGATTACGTGACCTCGCTCGGCTTTAAGCTGCAGCATAACGCCCGCTAATGTCAGCGCAGAGAGGG